CCCCAAAACCCCAAAACCCCAAAACCCCATATAAATCTATAAATAAGACTCAAAGAATTAACCTTAAAACTAATCTGGGACATAATGCCTTAAGACCATTTACAGGATTAAAAGCATGCATAAGCAACAGTGATAGCTGAGATATGTGTCCTGTCCCGTAACTCTTGAGCAAGGGCATTCATTAGTTGCGTAATACAAGATTTACTAGAAACTTTAAACATATACCCCCATAAAGCAGCTATCCAACGCTTTATGAGGTCTAGAGCATCCCTTGGATCTTAAGCTCTGTCAATAGTTGACCTAAACTTTATCTCCTCCGAAAACATCTTCCTCAATGACTTTTTCTTCTTCTGCTTTCGATGAGATCCAGCTTGGGCCGCATAAGCTCTACATACATTCTTCTTTGTAGTGATCCTCGTTGGCTTAATGGTCAGTTTATTCGACTTCTTTGGGGAAGGAGATCTCTTACTCGTCTTCTCAGCACAAGGACTGCTATTTTTAGATCTTATTAACTTCAACTTGAAAGACTCATTATTTTCATCAGTCGAGCTAATGAAATCACTGCTCAGCATTACCTCCAAAGGTTCTATAGAAAAGTCAGAATGACAACAATCGAGATGACTTACTGTCCTTCTTGTCTTCGTCAACACAACGGATCGGTGAGATTATAGAGTTGGCAAAATCTACCTTCTCAGGAGACCTTGATCCTGCAGGGCTATCGTTCGAGAAATTCTCACTGGAAGAGTCACTGGTGTGGTGCTTCTCCGGAGAGGGAGACCTAGAGTTCCCAATCCTCTTTGTACTAACCTCGTGATTAAAAACAGTGGAACTCAGCTTGATCATATTAATCTTCTTCTTAGTACTAGCAAGCTTATCTGTAAGGTTCTTAGTCGTATTAATAGACTGGACCTTCCTTGGCTTCATGAAACTTTTAGCCTTATGAACGAAGAACTTGCCTCTCTTTTCCTTACCAGTGCACTTCTTCGAAGGATTCACGTTCTTCTTGGGCTTCAGAGTCTGCTTCTTGGTGTAAGACTCAGAGTCACTGACGCTGTTTTCTTCTGAAGATTTCATGTCTTCAATGATTTCATCAATTTTAAGCTCGTTGTCATCATCAAGAAGTTTGCTAACTTCATTATGAGGCGAGAAACAATGCATTGGCATTGTCATCTGTTTCTGGAAACTAAGCATCTCTTGCTCATCAATTCTGTCATCATTGTGGATAATTTTGGAGTACCTCTCGTTCTTGTTGCCGGCGCAGGACGCCTTTGTCAAAGAGTCCCTGAGAGTCGTCTCGTCGATGTTGTCAGGAGGATTTATCTTATTTCTCAGAGATATAGACCTTCCTTGGACTAAGCTTTCTCTTTAGCTTTTTAAACTGGTTCATCTGGGTCTTTTGCATGGTCTCAACCCTCTTCAACTCCCATTTTATGCGAATAAACTCTTTCTGGTTCTCAGTGGGTTTTATATTAGTTTCAAGATCACCAAGGCCTGGACTATGCCCATCACTCGCTGTAGTTCGAGGTAGCAACTTTAGCAAGTTAGGATTCACCTTGCGGAGAGGCTTTGGAAGGATCATTTTCTGGTAATAAGTGTCGAAGTCTTCCTCCTTACCATCTACTACTTTCTTAGACTTTTTCTTCCTGCTAAAACCAACGATGAGGGAGAACTATCAGATCAGGAAATTAAACATAATTTTTTGGAAAAGATTGTTTCGCCTCGGAACTTACAGTTTGGGCATTGGTTTCAGAAATGACTTCTCTTCAGTGGGCCCTATTGTCTTCATTCCTAGAGGGCTTTTCAGGGTAACCCCTCTGTTATCAGATAGAGGAGATATAGTTCCATTATTCTATACCAGTAAGGTTGTCAGGATACCAAAAACACAGGATTTAGTGAAAGACCGAGAGATTTCCAGTTGAAATGGTAAACAAGATTTTTACTCTTAACAACTCCCAAAACCCTGGCTTAGCCAGGCAGACTTACAGGAACAAAATTAGTATTCTCAACATTATTATCAATCCTTGGATCGCTAAATCATCGAGACCTATTTGCAAAGTCATAGGTTTTCATGGCATCAGCTGCATTCAGATTAGGATTATTTTTAAACATCTTGGAGAACTTATGCTTCTTCTTGCAGTTCTTCTTAATTGAGATTTTGACATCTTCAAGAGATTTGACCTTATCATTGATCCTCTCTGTAATTACATTTGTCACGATATCACTGTTGTTCTGTTTGCTAGTGATGTAATTACACAGGACTCCCCATTTGTTCTTCTTCTCACCCACGAATGTATTGGCTACTTCCTGATGTGTCTAAAGCAGATGAAAGATAAATCACAAAGCTAAATTACCTGCTCAACTTCGTTTCTTGTTGAAAAGTCCATCCTTGCCTTGCCACCATAGAAGTCAAACATAAAGTTTCCTCCGAATTTCTGGAGGTTATTAGCTGCTTCTTTCCGTAACATTTCGCTTCCTTTCTGTAACTCTTCCAAATAGTTGACTTCACCTCGCTTCGGGCTCAAGATTGGAGTTGCTCTCTCCTGAGGAGACTGCAGAATCCGGGGGAGCTCATTCCCTTCTAGAAAATAGCGTTAAAACGATCAGTACAAATATCTACAAGTTATGACTACAAAATTGTATGTTAAAGCAACCATAAGAGCAAAGTAATAATTTTCCAAAATGTCGGGATCTTTTGAAGCAATCGTGGCTAGAAATATTCAAAAAATCCTCAGCTGTATCCCCAAAGATTCTGCCAAGAACGCATGAGCAGATGAGAAGTACACTCGGATTTTATGCAGTAAAATCTGCATTTTGAAACTCTGGTGAAATCGTCAACCATGATTACAGGTCTTCCCAATTTGGAAGGTAGCAGATAAACTCTCAGATGGGGTGCCATTGTTCTATCTATTCCTACAAGACTTTGCATTTGCCTTTCCGCAAATATGAATAATTATGCAGGTAACCTCTGGAGAGTTCATACAGATTACTGCATTTTCCAGCCCTGAACACTAAATGTCTTTTTAATACCTATCCAAGTTAAGAGAAATAGATTCATGAATCTGAAATTATTTACATTAGGAAATCTAACTTTTCTGAACGGAAAAGGATAAGTTTCCTCCAGGATATCAGCAAAGCCAGGAGGCTAGAAAGCCCCGGAGAGTGCCTATAGAAAGCAGAGCTTTAGTAGAGGTTTTAGGTATCTTTTGAAAGCATCCGAATTCATGATTTTTACGCTTCAAACTGAGGATCTTTGCTTATGTAGACATATTATAATTTATGATATCGCCTCTTGTTGAGGTCAAAGTGGCTATTTGGATGGGAAACAGCAAGCCCTGGGCATATTACCATAAACTAACCCAAAAAGCTTTAATCTTAACCTTCGAAATCTATAAAGGCCGGTATTTCTCTCCGATAGCTTTAAAATAAGCAGTCTTGGATATATCCAGCCTTAAGAGGCTAAGTCACATTCTGGATTACTCAGCAATCTTAGGTGTTACAGACCAAGATTGCGAGGACGAATTTCGACCTTGACAAATATGTGAGTTTGTTCTTACCAAATGCCTTCACAACTCTTAAAAATTTACTGGAAATTTAACCTCTAAAAGATTGGTATATTACCAAAAACAAATGCGTTTTAGGCATCCTGCGAAAACTTTGGGCTCCAAATTAGCAGAGATGTCTGAACAAGAGGGGAACAAAGCCTGTTGTTATGCTTTAATGGACTACACAGGTTAGATTTTAGGTTAATTTCTGAATAGTGCCAATCAGGACATAAAATCTTGTATAATCCTTTATAATTTGATACTTTTGTGCGTCTTAAATTGAGAAAATAGTTGGAAATACGTCAAGATTACGTCTTGTGCTGACTTCGACTAAATATTTTGGCTTAATTATAAATTTTTCCTGATCATGAGCTCAAATTCGCTACAAAAATAACAGAGAACTTCTAGCAGTGCAGAACTGGAAAAGGGAACCCCAGCTTATTCATCAGGAATCCTCTGAGAGGCGTCTTATTCCACGAACACACAAAAGTGAATCAATAATTGGAGGTCCAAAAACCACGAATCACCTGAATCGAGTATTATACAAATATTTGTTCTGAACAGCTATGGGCTTTAAAGCCTAAAGCTTTGAACTTTACAAACAAAAGTGAGGATCGCCATTGGTCAGGAATACGATGCCCTCTTCGAATAAGGAAGGCCGATCTTACTGAAGATTTTCCATATTTTACGCTAATACGCTTTAAAATTGGGGCTTAAGAAGCACAATTATCTAAACAACATTATTATCATGGTAAAATCTGCGGAAAATCCTTTCAAATTGCTATTACTGGACCAGTGCTTGAGAGGCAGCAAAATCTCTTCAATAAAACTTGCAAATGAAACATTCAGCTTAGCAATGGTATACCTAGGCTAAAGCCCTATTTTTACGCCTCTAAAACGAGATTTCCTGCCAATAGCCATAATATGGACCAAGCTCAAGGATGCGTGATAAAGATCAGAATAAGTTTCACATCCTCTTCTAGCTTATAAACTAAAACTGCTTCACATTAGGATATCTAATATTCTTTGGAAATGCCAGAGTAACTACAAGTAAAATTTGGGCTATAAAAGCTAAGAAATTAAATTACAAAGACTGAAGAGAGAGGCAACTTTCTCAATAAGAGCTCTTGCCTAGCCTGAAACTTTCTAATGTAAAAAAAATAGAGTCATGGCTAATACCTGAAATACCAGAGTTTATCCTCATAGTATCTGTCATGAAGCCGAGAAAGTAAAGTAGCAGGCAAAAAGAAGGGAACGAAGAAGGGGCAGATCAGCTGGGAATGTCTAAACCTGGACCTTCCCGATTACCTAAGATTATATAACTCCTCAAACCTGCAATATTACTTTTATTATGTCCTTTGTCTTTATGAAGTCTACTCTGGCACCGCCCTTTGGAGAAGATACCTCTCTTGTGCTTTCTTTTGTCAAGGCTCTGGAATGGGCTGACACTTCTGATGTTAAGATCTAGGCAGGGTCAGTACAAATCAAAGCCTCTGGCACTTACTTCTCTCGTTCATTTCTCACGGATTTTTATTATATAATCAATTACAATTTTTATGCTTTGGCTTGGGGTTTTGGGGTTTTGGGGTTTTGGGGTTTTGGGGTTTTGGGGTTTT